TCTAGAGGAGAGTAAAATATGAAGAATATTTTTTTGTGCTCCTAAGTTTCTCTCTAGCATATCTAAAGAGGGCGAGTTTTTTGAAAGGGTGAGAGAAAATATATAAAATTCTTTGATTTTATGTTAGATGATATATAAGAAAATTTATGCTTTAACAACATAACCCAAGAATCCTATAATTGATATCATATGATGAAAAATTTAATTTTCTCTAAAATAAAAATTTCGGTGAGTTTATTCTTTACTTCTTATTCTCTTTACTACATTCAACTTTATTTTATTATAAACTGTTCAATCCTCTTTTCTCTACTAATTTTTATCTGATGCACTAATTCACCCCCTTCTTAGTGCCTCCTAACAATCATCTCTCAATCAAATTCTTTTGTTGTTTTATCAAAAACTTTATTTTTATTTTAAACAAAGATAACTTAAATTATGGAGAAAATAACTCTAACAAAATGTGCTCAGTTGGTCATCTTAATTAAACAAAGCAAATCAAATCCAAATAATTGTTCACCTAGTACCTTGTGTGGGAATGTATCTTCTTCCTCACCTTATGTTTCAACAAGGTTGTGCCAACACACTATTTCAAGAAGGGCTGTGTGGGTAGGCAGTGGCTAAATGCTGTGGCACCACACAACCATCAACTTGATTGTCTTGTCCCCCTCAGTGAAGTTGAAGGACAAGTCCTTTCACTTGATTAAAGCTGGATCTGTCAACATACACTGAATCCAGACTCTGCTCTTAACTACTCCTGAGGTAGCTGCTCAAATGTATCAGTATGACATCTCATTTTGGGTCAAAACCTTTTGTCTTTGAAATGATCCAATTCATTAGATTGAAATCTAACACAAATTAAAAATATAGACAAAAGAAAATGGTTCAAAAATCTTGATACCAAAATAACAATTAAGAAAATCTTAAATCCAAGTGTAAAGTCGGAAAAAAAAGAATTACATACATTCCCTTTTTATATTTATGTAAAAATTAAATAATAGTTCGACATTTCTTTTATATATATATATATATACATATATATATATATATACATATATATATATACATATACATATATATATATATACATAAATATATATACATATACATATATATATATATACATAAATATATATACATATACATATATATATATATATACATATATATATATATATACATATATACATATATATATATATACATATACATATATATATATATACATATATATATACATATATATATATATACATATATATATATATATATATATATATATATATATATATATATAGTTTGACATTCCTTATTGATACTTGAGTTATACAAAATTTAGTCACAATTCTCCCTTTACATTCTCTCATGTAATGTAGAGAGAGAAAAAAAAGTACAATTCTGACATTGTATGGAGCTCTTAAAAATAGAATTTTTTTTGAAAATAATAAAAAGGTTTGACTTTTAAGACAAAAAATAAAATAAAATTATAACCTGTTGGTCCAGGCTTAGACAATTGGGCCTATTAAGCCCAAATCAGTAAACTAAAGAAATTAAAATGAGGAGAGAGAAGGTGAGGAAAGGAGATGAGAATGCAGAGTGCAAGGCAAGAGGAGAGAGAAAGAAAAAGAAAGATTAGGTTTCTGAGTTTTCTGCTTACGATCGGTGGTCAAACGTTATCAGTTTCGGCCCAAATTTTATGTGGAGAATTCTTGCAGCAAACTCTACAATCCTAATGGTGTTGATATGCAGTTTACCCTTTCTAAGATACTTTCCTACAATATCTACTTTGTGAGACCTAGAATTCTCTTTTGAGGAGATCCATCAAGATATGCTATTCTTGAGCCAAGATCTATGATCTTGATGTTATTCTGATCCTCTAGTTATTCTAGAGAAGACCTACTGTAAATCTGTTATCATTATTATTGATAATGGAAGTTTGAGGTGGACTACGGTCCCGTGGTTTTTCCCACATTGGGTTTTCCACGTTAAATGATTTGGTCTCACTATGTGATTGATTTATTGCTCTATTGTTTGTGTTGTGCTGATTGATATTAGCATTTTGATATCAAGTTGGTATTTTGATGAGGAACCTATTTTGATACATAAAGAGGGAAAAGAATTATTCCGCATTAACAGGTTTCTTCCCAACAAGTGGTATCAGAGTATTAGGTTGTTTGGTGCTAGTTTTCTTGTGTGATTGAAATGGAGTCTGATGGTATGATTAAATTGAACTTATCAAATTATTTCACTTGGAGGCATCTGATGGAAGATTTGCTATATTGCAAAGATTTGTATAAGCCTATCAAGGTTAAAGATAAACCTTCTACTATGGACGATGAAGAATGAGAAGTTCAACATAGAAAAGCTATTGCCTATATTAGAAGATGGATGGATATAAACTTGCATGAGCATATTTCAGATGAAATCAGAGCTGATGTTGTTTGGTAAAGGTTAGAAAACCTCTTTGCGAAAAAGACAGTGAGAAATAGAATTTCTCTCCTCAGAAGGCTTGTAAATTTGAAGTATAAAGATGGTGATAATATTGTTGAGCACATAAGCCTATTTCAGAGTCTTGCAAACAAGTTGGTTGCTATGAAAATGAATATAGATGATGAGATGCATGGATTATTACTTCTCAGCTCTTTACTAGAAAGTTGGGAAACGTATGTGGTGACTATTTGTAACTCCACACTAGAGGGACTCTAACTATAGATATGGTTAAAGACAGTTTGCTAAATGAAGATGCCAGAAGGAAAGAACAGGGTGAATCTTCTTTTGGGGCATTTGTTACTGAAAAACAAGAAAGACGTGGAAGAAGTCATAGCAGAAATCCACATGGTTATAGAGGAAGATCCAAGTCTAGAAGTGATATCAAATGTTTTCACTGTAACAAGCTAGATCACATGAAGAAAGAGTGTAAGTTTTGGAAGCGAGAATAGAATGAAATGAAGAAAAATGAGAAAGAGACAAATACAATTACTACTGAAGGTAATATCACTATTGTCTATGATGAAGGTTGTGTTAGCCTTGTAGCTCAGGACAGTAATTTGGTAATTGACTTTGGTGCTTCATTTCATGTCACTTCTCATGGTGATTTCTTTAGATCTTACACTGCTGGTGCTTGAGATGAAAGAATTACAGTTGGAAAAGGTACATACCAATGAGAATGGTTTAGATATGTTGACAAAGTCTTTGCCTAAGGAGAAGCTTGAAGCATGTAGGCGAAGAGCGGGCTTGGTACAGCCCACCATATGAGTTGGAGGGGGAGAATTGTTGGGTCCAGCCCATATGTGGGCTTGGACAATTGGGTCTATTGAGCCCAAATCAGTAAATGAAAGAAATTAAAAAGAGGAGAGAGAAGGTGAGGAAAGGAGATGAGATTGCAGCGTGCGACGTGCAGAGGAAAGAGGAGAGAGAAAGATTAGGTTTCTGAGTTTTCTGCTTGACGATCGGTGGCCAAACGTTGTTAGTTTTGGCCCAAATGTTATGTGGAGAATCCTTGCAGCAAACTCTACAATCCTAACGGTGTTGATCTGCAGTTTACCCTCTCTAAGGTACTTTCCGTTATTCTAGAGAAGACCTACTGTAAACCTATTATCATTATTATTGATAGTGGAAGTTTGAGGTGGACTACGGTCCCGTGGTTTTTCCCACATTGGGTTTTTCACGTTAAAAGATTTGGTCTCACTGTGTGATTGATTTATTGCTCTATTGTTTATGCTGTGCTGATTGATATTAACATTTTGATATCAAGTTGGTATTTTGATGAGGAACCTATTTTGATACACAAAGAGGGAAAAGAATTATTCCGCGATTTCTTCCCAACATAATCAAATTCAGAAAAATCAAGGACATCAAATCTCGTGTTTAATATGTGGAAAGTTCATCACAATGGGCACAATGCATGTGCCCAATTCTAGTCGTCATTTAATGGGGATTTGTCTACCATGGATTGGCAACACAAAATCAAAATCATGTAGACATGGTTGAGTGTCTCAAAGTCTTGAGGTTGGTTGGATGTAAGTGTCCTCCGAGCAACTCGAGCTTGTGGATTGGTTCAGTTGGAACACACCTTTAATGTGGTGGTACCCTCACAAATAATGGATGCCGAACCCATTTGAAATCAAGGACTCGACTCGACAATGGATGGGCCACATACTAAAGTAAACAGAGACATGTCTCCAATCTACATGAACAATTCAACCTATTTATATCTCTTTTAGGGTTTGGCTACAAACTACCTACTCCTTTTAACTCATACGCACATCATTACTACTATTATTATTATTATTATTTACAATTAAATATGTATTGACGTTCATTATCACTCTAGAGTTTCCCTATAAACCACTTCAAACTATTCTTCATCCTAGTTTCGAAATCGATAATTTCAATTTTAAAATCAATGGTTTAGATTCTAGAATCAATGATTTAGATTTCGATTCGGATCGACTCCGATTCGAACTACTAGTTTATATATTTATCATCTCTAATGTTAATATTATTTTATTTAACTTAATCAAATCAAATAATTAATAATTAATTTATAATCGATTCAATTAATATTTAATCTAATCTAATTTAAATTATATCGATCAAATGTCTTATCATATATTTTTCATCTCATTATGGATGAGTCGCACAGGTGTTCGTAACACAGCATAAATGACACCACCGAACCGATTCCATCTCCCTGACGTCACCTCTGGCCACTGCAGCCACGTCATGTCCTACAAATCTATCCCTCAAAAAGTTAATGCTGACATTATATGAATCTGCATTTGACCGCCCCCTCTCTCTGTGTCACGCACACAGTATATCCACTTGACTTGTCTGCATATGAATCTCCTATGATCACAAGTTATCTTCTCTGCCCTCGCAGTATAAAGATCCTACTCCCTCCTTATACTTCCCTTCCATCTCCGGTGTTGTTGCGATCACATTCACTGGCGCTAAGCCATGATGGAGAGACAAATTGTCCACCGGAAGTGCCTCAAGCGATCCAAAACTATCGTCAGGAAGAAGAAGAAGCCCATCAAGGTGGTCTACATCTCCAACCCCATGAGGGTGACCACCAGCGCCGCCACGTTCCGCGCCCTCGTGCAGAAGCTCACCGGCCGCGACTCCCTCGTCGCCGACACGAACACGGTGAGCGCTTCTCTAGTACACGAGTCCACCGACGAACCCCCGGTGGCCTCCGCAGCGGCTTCTGAGTCTCCCAGCTCGATGCTCTCGAGTCTCACCGTGAGCTGCACGGTGGAGGCATACAATAGTCTGGTGGCTCCGACTGTGGTGTTCGATGAGGAGAACTTCTGTGGACTCATGTCGTCGACGCTGTATCATGAGCGTCAACTTGCAGGGCTTGGGAGCTACGATGAAGTGTGACAAGACTCGATCTGTGCTTGGGTGTGTTCTGTAACAGGATGCAGTGTGTTTGTATGCCTACTTCTTGATATTTTCTTTTCATTTGCAACAATCAATACTTCCAAGTGTCAAGTTTTATGGAAGGGTGCATGGCATGTAGATTATTCTAAGAGATTGTGTTGAACATAATGGATCCAAGATCTATAGAAAGCAGGAAGGATATTTATACAAATAGTGGCTATTTGACTTTTATATGTAAGAGTGGATATTTATACAAATATAAAAGTAATAAATTTTCTTGTTAAATGCTTAGTATCTAAGATTATGCTTAATAGATTCCAAGATATTATTCTGCAGTCCATAAGAATCATCTTGATGATATTAGAACATTTTATTAGTGAACATGCTTCAACCCTACTAGAAAACATTACCCTCTAAGCAATCAGCTACAAGATGCTCTTACTAAGGTCTTTTTTCCATGGCTTTTTCAACATGCTTAAGTCAATTTTTATTGTTACAAGTAATTTTGATTGATAGTTATACTAAAAAATAACAGTTTAATTGGATAAGACAGACAACAAGATGATCATTTAATTGAAAATGATTGCTGAAAAGTCCAAGAAAACCATACCCAACAAGATTATCATTTAATTGAAAATGACTACTTATTCAAAGGAGTGAAGAGAGTGAAAAAAAAATGAAAGAATTTATGAAGTTATAATAGCCAAAATTACAATATTAGCTTTAAAAAGATCTGATCATTATAGATTTTTTTTTGAATCGATAAAAGTATAAGCAATCAAGAAGTTTTTCCCATGATTTATGATCTTGTAACTTTCAACAAAATGAGATCAATTCAATTGAAGCTAGTTAGAAAAGATATTTTACTGTTTTTTTACTTTTCTCTAACAAATATCTACAAAAATTAAATTATATTAGTGATTTCAATTCAGTCAAAAATAAATTTGATTAGTCAATGTTTATTATATACAATGCTTAAAATGCCTTCTTATCATTAATTTAATAATCATTTGTTGGATATATATATATTTAACCTATAAAGTGCTAACAATAATAAAAAAAAAGCTAAAAGAAAAGTGGAGATGTTAGAATTAGTTCATATTCTACTATATACATTTATACGTACATAGTGACATGACAGATATGTAACCTGATAGTATGCGATCAACTGATTGATCACTATAGGTTACGTTGGCCATACACGGAGAACATGGTGGTAGTCGGATCAAGTAACACATAATTAGTGATACGTGGCCAAATGGTCGATCGTCCGAACCCTGCTTAAAACGTCGCATGTCCACTTCCTGTCACTAACGATTTCGGGCGTAACTATCTCCAAAGTCACTTTTAAAAAAGATCCCAAGTATACTCTCACACACAACTTCATTCTCAATGTTAGCTGGCTAGTTCGATCGGATCGAATCCAAAACTGACTTGACCATCAAAGAGGTATTTGTCAGGAATGCCCTCGACTTAGTTTTATAGGTTCAACTCTCTACGAACAATGACTTAGACTGAGACTAACTTGGAATGGACCTGTGTTGGATCTGAATCACCATCTCAACTTGGATAACTAAAATCTATACTAACAAACCTTATGGTTAATAGCCTTGTAGAAACCTTCTACTTGCTGAAATTTTTTTATTAATGATTAAATGAATTATAAGTTACTGAAGAAACCTACAACCTCCCTCTTGGCCATAAGGCAAATGGACAAAGAGTCCCTAGCCAGTTATATCGAATGGTTCAATGATGAAGTAATACTAGTGGCGAACTTGAGTTTATCTATTATATTTGATACTTATATTGGCAGTCTCCAACCCTCAAAATTCTTCTATTCGATCATCACATGACCTCCTGCCACATTCCTCGAGCTGTTACAAGAGGCCAACCGACATAGAGTCGTGAAATCCGTGATTATCGAAAAGAGAAACTCGAAGCCTAATAGGGCTATCAAAGAAAAAAGAAGCTCATGGCCGAATAATCCAAAGCGGCCCCACAACAATAAGTTTAGAGGGGATTGGGTTCATTCCCATAGAGAGTTTACATCATTGAATAATTCTCACACTAAGGTGTTCATGCGATAAGGGTGAAGAGCTTACTTCATGCACCTCATCCTCTTCGGACTCCCCCCGCCAAGTGGAATCACACCAAGTTTTGTTGCTTCCACCAAGATCACAGACATGATACGAAGGATTGTCATGATTTAAAGCAACAAATAAAATAACTCATTCGGAAGAGGCACCTTAACCACTAGAGGATTGTCATCGCTTGGACCCCTAATGATATGCAAAAGATTGATCGAATTATGGATCAGCATCACCTTAATATCGACCCACAACATCAATCTATTCACTAGAATTCCGGAAAGCTTGCCCCATATTGAAAAGCAACAAGCAATCAATAAATTACTATGTACTGATTTTATCCATGAACTACCCAACATAGCTTGTTAATATAGTCTTTGTAAAAAAGAGGAATGGAAAATGATTTGTGTGTGTTAACTACACCAATCTTAATAAAGCTTGTCCAAAGGATAATTAACCTCTGTCTTGGATCAATTAGTTGGTTGGTATAACTTTGGACCATGAGTAGCTTACTTTCATGGATGCATTTTCACAATATAATTAAATTAGAATGGCACTAAAGGATAAAGCATACTTCCTGAGGGTTATACTATCACAAAGTCATACCTTTCGAACTTAAGAATGTTAGAGTAATGTATCAAAAAATGGTTAATAAGATATTTTAGCTCTAAATATAGAGAAATATGGAAGTGTATGTTGATGACATATTGGTCAGGAGTCAGACATCTAACACCCATCTGGTTGACTTGGCCGAGACTTTTACCACACTCAAGAAGTTTTGAATATGGCTCAACCTAGCAAAATGTGCCTTCAAAGTCAGTTTTGAAAAGTTTCAGGTTTTATGGTCACTCGAACCAAAATGAGTGTCAACTTAGAGAAAGTATAATCTATCCTCAACATAAAGCCTCTAGCATCTACAAAGGAAGTTCAGTGATTGACCGAGCAGATTGTAGCTCTAAGTTGTTTTCCCTTAAGAACCAGTGATTGATGCTTACCATTCTTTAGGACCTTAAAGCAACCAACATTCGAGCAACTCAAGGAGTACTTGGCGGTGTCACCCGAACTATCTAGTTCTAGCCCCGGTGAAGAGCTATACTTATACCTCTTGGTAACATCGACAACAATTAGCTTTATCTTGATAAGGGAGTAAGAGAAAGTCTAAAGGTTGATGTTTTATATGAGCCACATCCTACACGATGTGGAGACTCAATACTTGAACTTCGAGAAGCTCTATAAGCTCCAAACTGGTTTGAATTTGGAGCTCAAAAATGTCACCTCCCGGATTTTTCGGGTCCTGGCGGTACCACCTCCTGATTGGGGCAGTACAACCGCCTAGCAGCTCGGAGACTGAGCCTCTGGGCGGTGCCACTGCCTGACAGGGGCGATTGCACCACCCAATCTCACTCGGAGATTGAGCCCAAGCGGTTGCACCGCCTAGCTTTCCTGGGAGACCATCTCCTGGGCGGTGCCACCGCCTGGTAGGAATTCTGGTCCGAATGGGTTGATCTATTCGGCCCAATTTGGATCTATGAAGGACCCAATTGCCTCCAGATTAAGTTAATGGGATCACCTCCCATTTCTAACTTAATCATCGTGCTAACTACGATTTTTCTTAAGACATTTATTGCAACTTGCTCCAGTGCATCAATCGCTTCTTCCGGCGAGCTTCCGGCGAACTTCCGTCGATCATCAGATGAACCCTCGGTGATGCTCCCGCGGACTTCCGGCAAACTCTTGGACTTGCGACGAGCTTCTTTTAGCAAGCTCCTGGACTTCTCGGATTTGTTCCCGCAGAACCTCCGACGACTGTCCGAACTTCCGTCGAACTCCCAACGTGATCATAGTCTTGGCTCCAGCGCAACTCCTACTGCATGTCTTACTTCCATCGTAGTTAATCCTACATATGTAAAACAAAACTTCGATCGAGATAATTAATCCTAAGTAATTAACTAAGTTATCTAGTATATCTTTGGTCCCTCGACGCTTCGTCTGATTATTCTGCGCATCGTCCTCTCCTGCGGCCTATTGCCTAATCGGCTAGTTAACTCTGCAACTCCGATATCCTTAGCACAATACCCGCTCTTCTTAGCCTGATGCCTGAGTCCACGGTCCGAAGCCTTCTATCGATACGTCGATCGATCCACCGGCCCGACGTCCAATCTTCAAACATGTTCCTCCAACACAACATGATTTTCCTGCTTTAATTGTCTCATCTTAATCGAGGCATCCTGCGTCACTCAAAACGCAGATTAAATCATAAACATATATCAAGTGGTTTTATCATCAAAATACGAGATTCAACAATTGGATCTCATCCATATGATCCAATAATTGAAGAGCTTATTGGATATCTGATAAGATAAGGGGTTTAGCGGATATCTCATATTCGAACCTCTACTCATCGTAACACTTATCATATATGTGTGACACTCTAGGCTCAATATCGAGCTGATCGTAAGTTATACCTGTCAGAACTCATTTTGGTTTAGTGAATTATTATCTTTATAATAATTCACTCGACTCATCGATTACGGATGTACTAGGCCACTACAACGTAGTCTCTAAACGATACAGGAGAATCCAATCCATTGGATCGGTTTGTCCTCAGTTACCGTATACCTAGAATCCCTCATCAATCTTATAACCCAAAGACCATATACAGGGTATGATGCTATCAGACCCATATGGTATATATATATATATATATATATATATATATATATATATATATATATATATATATATATATTCCTAAAACTATATATATTTTTTTATAAATCTTATAATTTATATAATTATATCTTATATTTAATATTTTTTTATTGAATTTATGGTTTCTTCAATTACCTCATTAGTTCAACCGGAGACTTGCCACACATCATTTGATGGTATACTTCTTTGTAAAGAAAACCAGGACATTCTTTGCCATGTCAATGACTCACCTCTGGACAATTATTTTTTCTGTAAAAAAGACCATTATCAGAACCATATTCTCTCCGTCCATCATG